GAAAAATACAAAAAGCTCATATTTAAATTCATTAGTCGACAAAAGTCAGGGCATTATTAAGTAAAATAAAAAAAATTTTGACCTATTATAATTTCTAAAAGATTTTTAATTTTTTAATGATATTTTATCCCTTTTTACTCAACAACGAACCAACTTTTTTGAATTCCAGGGATAGATTTTTTGACCTTGGTGCTTCATCACTAATGGCCAAACGTAATTAATCACGAGTGCCATTTTGCGTAGAGGTCGCGTACGGGCATAAAAGGCGCCACGTACATTTTTCACCTCTCGTAAAAAGGTCGTCGGAGCTGAAAAATTCAGCAAATAAGGCAGGTGCCGCACCGTACGTAATAAAATGCAAACGAGAGAGAAATGTGTGCACCGTGTTCTCCAGAGAGACGAATTTACACGTCTCTTTGGATGGGGTGCACTTCACACTGCATTTCAGCAGCTCGATAAATTATGCAGCTGGTGAAGTATAATTGGGTGTAAAATGCGCCGAGCTATGGTAATGAGGAGGGGACACGTGCCAACCAAAGCACTTTCACCCTTTCTCACTCGCGCGTGAAAACGTAACAAATATACATGTAGAGAGAAGCAAAAAAAGAAAATTGAAACTGTTCCAGCAGCAGGTGAAGGCGCTATTCATAAAATTAAATTGGTAAACAGGTGGAAATTTCATGCTATTTCGCAGACCAGCTCCTTGACAAAACTAAAACAATTCCAAGCAAATGAGTGATCAAATTTAGATAGATTTTTGTTTTTTCATGATTTTTGAAAAGAAAAAAAGTACAAGTACTTAATATTACTTAATAATACATATTACTTAATATTCTCCTGGAGTATTTTATTAAATTATAATTAATTGTTCAAATTAAATTTTCTAAGATAGTTGGTTTCCATTTTTATGTTTTTTTATTTTATTATTATTTTAACAAATTCATTTTATAAATAAATCTTTTTGTTGATGAACAGAAATATTCATCTCAGCTCAAATTAGAATAAATATTTAACATGCCTGAATGTTCTGTGGATTCCCCCTTGTGTATTATATTAATTTAAGTTGGACCTAAAATTTTCATTCCTAAATTTGTGACAAAATGGTCCGTTTATATCACGACCCGAATTCCAATTTGATTAACAACGAAAAGTGGGGAAAGCCCTCAACGAACAGGTGCAAATCAAACAAACAAACAGCGTGTCCCACGGTAGGCAGCACCACAGAAATTTCGCGGCCCGACCAAATTGGCCAGAAAGAACGATAGAATTTCAATATATACACCTGGTCTTGTCCGAATTCCTTCCATTTGAACTCGAGTCTCGACTGCCAGATGAAATTAATTACTCACATTCCTAGAAAAGGTGCCGAGGAGAGTAAGCGAGGCGGATAAAATTCCCGGGCGTCGTCGCCTTCCTCAGAGTTAATCAATTCCGCCACCCGCCCTTGCTAGAGCTCGACATGGCGTGCACCACCGCCGAAAAGTCTCGGCGGCACAAGCAAGTGACTTTCGCCGCCGAGATTGTTTTGATCTTGACCGAGCGGAAGCCATTTTCCAGATGAGGGTCAACTTTCATAAACGTAATTAATTGCCAACTCTTGTTTCTCGACCAGAAATTTCATGCACAACTTTCCTGCTCGCGGGATATTCTCAGAAACTGGCATCCTTTGTGAGGTGGAAAATTTGGTTTCCGCGCAATAAACAGAAGGAACTGACTGACCATAACAGGGAGCTACTTGATTTTGTATGGACTGAAACCAACAAGCAAAAAATGCCGCTTAAAATTCAATTTTTAATTGTTGCAAAATTCAAAGTAAGAATAATTTCACTACAATTGGAATCTTAAAATAATTTTAAAAAATTTTTTAATGACATTTATAAATTAATTATTACAAATTTGTTATTCGTAAAAAATGTGGTCATAGTTTTAATTAGTCCTATTTTTGAACATACAATTACAAATGGATAGGAACAAAAATTAACAATGAGTCAACCAAGGCTCACTGCGGTGGTTGAGATCTTTTTTAACTTAAAAATTTTTGCAAAATCATTGCTACTTTTAGTGCTGTTTCCACCAAAAACTCAATTTGTTCCTCCCAACAATTAATTATTTTAAATTATGCGTTTAGCAGCTGAATTCCTCTATAAAAAGCTTCCATTTTGAAGGCATTTTTACTTCTTAAAAAAGCTAATTCCAATTATATTGAAGACGCTATTCTTACTATTAAACACCTAATTTTAGAGCTTAACTTTATCCTCCGGCTCCCAATAGGAAAATCAATATATAATAACAAGCCAGTTTTTGCGATCATAAGGGGCCACAGAAATGTCCCAATAACTCGCGGACCTTGGGTCAGAGTTGCACAACCGGAAATTGATCCAGGGGAACTAGGAAAATTTGTTTTATTAATGAAAAAAGCTTTTAACAATTATGGAAAAGTAAAAATATTATTAAAAAAAATAATATTAATTTATTTTCGTGTTTTTTTTTTCATGCTTCTTTTTTTCAGTTCAAATGGAAGAATTTAGAGTCAATCAGTCGGCAAACGTTTCGGAAAGCGCGTGCTGAGGTGAGGAAAAGGTTAATCCGGGAATCTTTTTAACGGCGCAATAAAAGCCGCAAGCCGAGAGATTATTCCCTCCTTCTGGCACGACGACGCAGGCGAAGAGTGTGTTATTATTATTTTCATCGGTTTTATTGTCGAGCGCCACCGACAAACAGAACAACGGCGGGCGTCTAAAAACGCGCCGTTAATTGGGCTCTTCCCGCCGCGCGCGCGAGAACAGAGCGATGCGCCGGGACCGTGGGGCACACATTAAATCCATCCGTCGGCCGTGTTCTTCGATTATGAGCGCCGAGCAGCCAAGAGAAAGAAAACAGCCGCCCCCGCTGCTGCAATAAAAGAGCCGGGCTGTGTTTCGACAAGTTTAATAGAGCCATTATTCAATCAGGCTCCATGAACCACCAACCAGCCTAATGGAACATTTAAGTGCTCAAATATCTCCGCTAAAAACTTGGAATATTGTTTATTTTAATTGGGCACTTTTAGCTTGAAACTTTTTCACTCAAATATGTGCAAAGTTTTCTGTAGAATTTTTAGTTAAACTATTCATTTGTAATAAAGACGCAAAAAAATCAACTGTACGAAGGAATTGTATCACTTTTAGTGACTTTTTGATGGAAGTAAACAAATTTAAGATTGAAGATATCATATATGACCACCTCAAGTGCCAAAAGGTTCCACAACAACAACTTCAAGAACCTATACAGCAAAAATAAACAAGCATTTTAAAATAAATTTTCATCGCCATTTTCTTGGAACCTAAATTGATTCACTGGCATTTTATATAAAAACTAGAAAAAAATTTTGGAAGCTCTTTTGTAGAAATTTGAATTTAGCTCTGGAATGTGTAATAGAGACCAAGTTTATCAGACAATAATGTTGAGGATGTAAATATCTTGTAACCAAAAACACTCTGCACAGAAGGAAATTTGCAAGTAGTATCACTTTTGTAATTTTTTTCTTTGCGGTTTACACTCTGTAATTTATCTAAAATTCAAAGTTCTATAATGAGAAATGCTTTGAGTAACAAAAACTAATGCTAATATTTGTGTACGAATGAAGGGTATTCAAATTTGTTTACCTAATTGTGCTAAAGTTCAGCCACAATAATTTCGCAATTTTTTTTTTTTTTAATATTATGAATTGATAATAAAACAGCTTCACAACCAGCAACTTGCGTTTGCAAGATTACTTTTTATGTATGCAACCCACTGCACAAGCACGTCTAGCAGGTTGCGTTTTTCATTTTTAGGCGAGAGTGAGTAAAAATATGATTAATAGATTTTTTAAAGCCTTTTCGGCTCTAAACTGAGCAAATAAAATAAAGGAAAATTGACCTCAAAAAGGCGCCCCGCGATCCGCTGTGCTTTAAAACCCTAATAATTCACATGTATTATGTATTATTTTTTTTTCGACAACGTTAAGAAGCCCTGATAAAATTTTTCATAGACCAGTTTAGTAAGTTCAAAATTTAATTATAACTCTTGCAGATTCAAATAAATATATTGAAACATAAAACAATTAGTTTTTTTCAATTTACTGACACATTCAAATACTAAAATAAGAAAATAAAAAATTGTTTATCTATGGTCTTATTTTGTCAAGACTTAGCAAAGTTAAATCCTTCTTTAGGACCAATTTTATTAGATCAAAATTTCATATCGCAAATTCTTAACATTCGGATTGATTCGGATATCGAAGAAAAAGAATTGTTTACTCGATTATAACTAATAAAAGCGAACCCCTTCCTGAATAATTTGGCACTTCAGTGTAAATTTGGTAAATTTTACACATTTAAAAATTTTTGTATTCGATAATATTCAAATGGGAGTGAACGGGTTGTTTTACAAACAGCAAGTGTGTGTAATATTTCGCGACGCTTCTCGGTCAGGCTGCATAGAGAACCCTGTGAATAATTCATGGCCGCGCCACTGGTCGGCGGACCATCTCGAGACTTTTACTTGGCTTTATTTAAATAATACGAAACAACGAGAAGCAGTGTTTTGTACAGTAATAATTGCGTTTTACATTTTTATGAACCGACACAGCCGCGCGTGAAAGCGAAAAAAATAAGCCGGGGTTAAAAAAGTGTGTTCTGTTATACCGTTCACGAAGCTTCCTTCGTTGAGCTCCATTAAAATTATATAATATTATTTATGGTAAGCAATGGTTAAGTGCTGCATTTTGGGACAAGGACCGGAAATCGCTAAATTGTCGAAATCTGCGTATACCCCAAGTCCGGTAGAAAATTCACGTGCAATTGGAGCTCCAAATTTAAGACTTGAAAAGAATTTAAAAAAAAAAAATTATATACATATAAAATATGATGTTTTCCGTAATTATTATTGATATTAATATTTTAGTGTTTTAACACCGTCACATTTTAATCGAATCTAAATGGTGTATTTCTAAGAATTGAAATAAATTTTGAACTGACCTGTATTTAACGGCGAGAGGGCCAGTGCGACGACAAGGAAGGTCCTGGCAACTCCGTTTTCACCAAAGCTGGACATCATTGAAGATTCAATCAGCAGACGAAGCAAGAATGAGTGACACGGAAAAATTCACGCGGCTCTCACTGGCCGGAGCACATGTCGATGTGAACTTTGACACTTGCACCACTTTCACTGTTACTGCCCAAGGTCGGAGCTGAGCATCGTCAAGGTCACGACCTGGTCACTCAGGTTGAGTCACAAGGAGTCGAAAACAGTGTGTGGAGAGTTAACCGGCGGTGGCGCAAAACGTGGGTGCAGATCGAGAGAGGATGTGGTCCGCTCGCCGCTTGGAGCACGACTGAGCAGGCGTATCGACCACGCAGCCGAGGGTGTCGCCGCCACCGCCACCTCCGACCACCGTCGAAGCTCATCCTCGGTCAACCCAGCTCAAAATATGCAACGCGACGGCCTGCAAACAAATAAAAAATAATTTTGCTTAGTAATTATTTAAATTTTTACAAGTAAAGTTGTAAATAATTAAAAATCAAATTATGACATATCTAAAAATTCCATTTAAAAAAATTAATTCTAATACATAATATATTTACTATGAATTTGAAAAAAGCTATTAAATTTATGTAAAAGCAAAATGAATTCTTTTTTTAAAACAACGTTGACAATGTAAAAAATTTTCAAAAAGTTCTTACAAATAAATTCTTACAACAAAATCGGTTGCTATTTTTATAAGGCTTATAAAATTTAAATTCTCCCCTCCTATCATTGCACCTCCTATGTATGATTTCCTGAACTCTCCTAAACTTCCCAGCCAGAAACAGAAATATTATTTTCTGAATTAAAATTGAGGTGATCGTTTTTTCCAAAGAGAACAATTTCTGATTTAAAATTTATATGAGAATTAGAAGGGCAGAAATTTCCAAAATGTGTACCTGAAATTACAAATTTCAAGTGAAGGTGATTAAAAAATTTGAGATTAATTTTTATAATTTTCATATATTACACGCAGAATAATCGTTAAAATTATTTCAACTCAATAATTCCCATCCCTTATATCTTCCACCCATACACGGATATTATGCCAGAAACCCATATAATTGTAAACCCATGTTATAAATTATTCCAAACAAGGAAAATTTGTCATCCCCCCACATTTGATTAAGCGACGAGACCTGGAATAATTATCCAAATAGCATGACAAATTTTCCTTGGTGTAGAGGTGGAGGTTTCGGGCTCACTTTAATTAATTAATTTTATTTGCCAAGTGTTTAAAATATAAATTCTAATTTTGTGTTTAAATTCAATAAATTTTCCCACTCTAAAACAGAACGATTTTTCTTTTATAAATTCAGAATATTCTCACATTATATGCAAATTATAAATTCCCAGACGTGTCAGTTTATTTACGTCCTTTGTGTGGCTTTACCGCCTTTGTCTGTGTGGGTGTTATTCACTGGTACACCTTATTATAGCGCAATGCCTCTTTAAAAATAACCTCCGACATCCAGTTTAATTAAACTGACAATGAGCTGACAGCTTCAAGTAGCAAAATGCGCTTCTTCACAGAGACCGTGCCGCGCGAAGCCTTTCTTATTCCCTCTTCCGCCGGCTGGGGTCAAGAAAAATCAAGTGGCTGCCGCTGTTTTACAAGCGAAATGCAAGTCCAATAATAGCCACTAGAAGGGACGGCAAGAAAATGGGTTTCGAATTGCCTATGTATTCCTGCTGCGGGTAACGAAAATAAATAAACGCGGCCCGGCTGGAAAATAAAACATCTGTGCGACGCTCAGAAATAAAAACAGCATTATGGTAATTAGAGAACGAACACATTCTCCGAAAGATATTTTTTTCCTCCTAAACGAGAGTGTGATTATTGATGCTGTACGACATGAGACTCTCATTAGCTCTCGTGTGACTTGTTATGTGCGTTAAATTGCTGATAAGAGAAACGTTTAAAAGCTCGGCCGGCCAAAACAATCCATCAGTGTGAACATGTTTATTGAGGTGGTGATTGCTCTTCTCGGCGCTGCCCTAGGCAAGTTTTTAAAGCTATATACGCACATCATGGAGTCTAATTTGCATTTTATGGTTTTATCCAAAGTGTATTCTTTTGTTATTTTCATTTTATTGATTTTTTATACGCTCTCAGATGGAATGAAATTCCTTTCAAAAAATTTAGGTGGTCCTTAAAATAATTAAATAAATAAAAATCACGCAAACCATGATGAATAAAATGTCAATATCAAAATATACATTTTTGCGCGAAATACACTTTTGGGAAATTTTACTATAATGTGCTTAACTTAATAATTTTTTTTTTAATTATCTTTAGAAGGTTTTCATTGGAATTATGCAATTTGTAAACTTTTCGAATAAACAATTCTTGCGTCATCCATGATCAATTTCAATTTTAATTAGATTGAAAAATAACAATTCTTAATAAAGATCAATTAAAGTATCAATATGATAAATTTGCATGTCAAATTGGGAAAATGTAAAATTTGACTCATTATTTCTAACTAACATTGATTTGCAAATTCTTTTCACAAGTTTCTCCATGAAGATATTGTCAGGTATTGTGCGGTTGAATAATTTCCTATTTTATCAATTAATTTTATTTTTTCTGAATAAATAATTATTTTATGTACATGTTATATTAATTATTAAATTAATATTAATCAAAAGTTTAAAAAAATGATAATATTGTTACATAAACTGATTGTTCCTTACAAAAAATTGCGTAGAATAATTTAAATAAATCAATAATATGATTTTTTTACATTATTTTTAGCGGTAGCTGTGCCACAGGCAAAAATTATAGGAGGGAGAGTTGCAGCCGCAGGCGAGATCCCATGGCAAGTGTCCGTGCAGACTTCAAACGGGCGCGCGCACTTCTGCGGCGGCTCCATCATTTCCTCCGAGTGGGTCGTCACGACGGCCCGCTGCACTCTGGACCGCACCCCTGAGGAGATCGTCATCGGCGCCGGCTCCATCGACAGACTCACCCCCAAGTCCGTGCACAAGGTCTCGCAAATCTTCGCCAACTCCTCGTTCCAAACCCTCTTCCTGACCGGCGACCTGGCCGTCCTCAGGGTGACACCACCCTTTGAGTGGAGCTTGGAGGTCGCCCCTATTGCTCTCCCCAGCAGCAGGGCCTCTACAGGCCTATTGGCTACTGTGTCCGGCTGGGGAACGACGTCCATCAACGGACCTAACCCTGTCCTTCTGCAGAGGGCCCAGGTGCCCATTTACGACAACAAGGACTGCAACACGCTCTATTCGCTGCTGGGAGGCGTCCCGGAAGATCAGATTTGTGCCGGCTTTAGGAAGGGTGGGGTGGACGCCTGCTCAGGTGATGGCGGAGGCCCACTTTTCGCCGACGGGGTCCTGTACGGGGTTGTTTCTTGGGGCTTTGGGTGTGCAACCAAATTCCCTGGCATCTACACCGAAATTTTCTATCACAAAGATTGGATCAAGAAAATCACGGGAGTTTAATTTTATAACAACTTTCAATTTTGTATTGCTGAAATGTCAAAATATTTACATAATAAAAAATTGTTTGGCCACAGATTAAAGCATAATAAAATATAAATTATACATATTTTACCCACCGTTAGAATAATAAAATTGGGAATTTAAATAACAAACTGAACTTTATAAGAAATTATAAATATAACAATTTTATTCTGAAAACCTTTTAAATTTCATTTACTTTTAAATTCATAACTTTTATTAATATTTTCCAGCATTTTTTTTTTTTTTACTTAATTTCTGATTTGTGGTATTACATGACTTAAATCAAAGTTTGTCGATTATAAAATGGTAAATAAGTTTCAAATTTTTATTTTGATATGCATAAAACGTTTTACTAGTGATAATGCTACAAAGCTGACTATGTGAACTTTTCAGTTGTAAATTAAACTCTGAAGAAAATATTGTTTTGTTGTTAGAACTCAAGTTTCTTGAAGTTGAGACTGGACGCTTCTGCGAAGAGGAAGCTAAGTCGGAAGTTGGCCGACGAGAAGGACGAGCGTGTTGATGCCTGCGGGTATAGTTGGGTGTGGTGGTGAAGAAGGGCCTTTGCGACCAAGACTTATGTACTCTCATTGAAAGTGTGCCGGCCAAGAGTGCGAGATGTAATAATTGATTCTCTCTCAGATTGGGGATGTTTACGCTTACAGAGAGTGAGGCTGCTTTTTGTTTGTTTGCGAGATGAGGGGGATTAAGTGGCCGACGGCTTTACGCAGATCTTTAATTAGGCAGGGGCGTCATGATCTTGCTCTCGACGCCTCCACCCCATTGTTCTCTGCGAACAACGCTTCCTTCAGAAAGGGGAAAAATCTCTGTGTTTTTGTTATGCAAATGTGTAATATTATAGGGATGGAGAAAATGAGAGGGGTGCATTCAGGGGTGAAAATGAATGTGAACATTGCTAAATTAATGTTATGCCATAATAATAACTATAGAATCAAGATTTCATGTTTTAAATTACATTTTAAGAAAATTCCAAACCTTTTTTTATGTATTATTATTTATAAGGCAAATTTAATAAAAAAATTCATTTATACAAAATTACAAGGAATTATTATCATAACAAATGGATACAAGAGGAATTGAAATCTTTTTTGATAAAGTTATAAAAATAATAAATAATCAAATTAATGCGATTTGGATGTCAATTTCTGAGCTGTGTTTGAAATAATTTTATTTCAATTAAATAGTAATTTGTAACTCAAAAATTAAATATGTTTTCTAGTTTCAAACATGTTAGGTTTTTAAAATGATTGAAGTTTGCAGAAAAATTAAATTCCTTACTTTTTTTAATATTACACCTTTCATTTGATTTCACACAAAAATTACAAGATGAAAAAAAAATTAATGTTAAGTAAAAATAATTAATTAAAAATTTTAAATTAATTTGGAAAGTTTCCTCATCCCTCAGTGTCACATTGCAAGTTCAATTAACCTCCTTTCCAGTGAGTTTCCCAGTTAAAAATTAACAGTCCTAAGTCATAAACTCGTCGGAGCAAATTAACTGCAGCCGGAACTGCAGCCTCGTTAAAAGTTAAAAGCGGCCCCTAATCCGAATGCGGTCGAAATTCAAGCGATTAATGGACACAAAACGACCGGAGCTCAATTATTCAAGTGGTAGAGAGGGATACACATCAATTTGCACACGCACTGCAATAATTGGCCTGTTTATACGAGCGGCCGTTGACGAGAGGCGAATGAATTGAAAGGACTGTTGTAAAAAAGCATCCTCCCCGTCTTCTTTTTAATTAAATTATTCATTTATACGCAGCTGTCGTAAAAAGAACTTGAGGAATGGGGTTAAACTTGGTAAAGGCTCCTCGCTGCTTATGCAACCTAGCGCCACTCATTACATTCTCTCTTCTCAGAGAAAATTATGAAGTGGCCCCATCTCGTCGGGCAAAACGGCCTGACTGAACGAGTTGCTCTCATTCTGCAATTTTTGTTTTGCAAGCGACGGGCACGGATTTCTCGAGGCGATATATGCCCGTTCTTGGGAAATGAAATGATGTTCTCGGTCGCAAGTACGTGACCTCGACTGATTGCAGGACTCAATTTTCCGCTTGTGATCTAATCTCTTGCACCGAGTTGTTGACTGCGAGAAAGACAACTGATTTAATACGTTATTTATGAGGACGTTGCTCTTACGCAAGCGAAAAATTTTGTTCGAAACTAGTTAAATAATTATTCACTAAACAAACTATTCAATTAAAAAGAAAAATGTAACAGACTATTTTCAGAAGGGTGCTAAATCGTACCGTTTTTTGTCTAATTTTGTTTAAGGGCAAATTATTTAAAAAAAATTTAATATAACAGAAAATACACATTTATAATATTTGACCCCATAAAGAAAAAAGAAACTATTTGAATTTATCTTATTTTTGGAAGAAAAAATGATCACATAAATTCAAAGTACCCACTAGAAAAACGTCAATTTCCTTTCAAGATTCGCTCTGACAATTGCTAAATTAATTTCTTAATAACCTATTATTGAAATCAATAACGTCACAAATAAATTATCCTCTAAATGAAAATCATGTGTCGAAATTTAATGGAATCCATTATTAAATCTTGCATGATGTAATGGGCTAGAAGAATGTATTTTTTTTTTTTTTAATAAATCTATCTGTGCATTTTCCAACTCATTGTAAGAAACTTCATCTAATCAATATAAACGAAGTTCAATATACATATTAGTTTTATTGCGTTATGTATGTTAAAAATTTACCCAGAATTAAAATGAATAATGACGAGTGATGACGAGTGGGGAAAAACTGCACGTGAGATATTTGAAATTCATAACAGACCTACCAGACCGACTAGATTGCGTTATGCCGAGGTTCGCTGATTTTTTTCAGGAATTAATTTTCCATTCCATTCAATGATGAAAACGAACAAGGGTCCTCGAGCGAAAGACCTACATCACAAACAAGGCTGGAAAATGAGCCGGTCCGTGGGTCGGTGTCACTGTTGGGTGTCACTTGTTTATTATTCCGAGAGAGTCAAACACGAAAAATGCAAATTTTTCAAGAGCGCTCGTCAGCGCAACGTCGGCTCTCGAGAGTTGGTGGCGGTTTTCTGGCGATGACACCGCGTGTGCTGCAAAAAAGTGGCAATCGAGCCGGAGAGGACGTCGGCCGGATATGCACCGCGGGTTTCACCACCGCTTCCCCTGAATAATTGATGCCCAGCGCTAATTGACGGCAGCCGCAAAACGTGCGTCTCGTTTCTTTGCTTTCGCCTCTGGCTGCGCAATCTCTGCATAATTGAAAAGCGCATCGCAAATCACCATGCTCTGCCCCGCATCGCATGAGAAAAATTAACACAATTAAATATAAAGACGGAAATTAAATTTATGGCTTCCGAACAAAAATTGAGAAAGAGAGAAAAAATAAGAGAAAATAAGGAGCGAGTGGCCCATGTTTTTACACGCTTCACTCGCTTAAATTTATAATAAAGATTGACAGTTGGCACGTATGGGTGATTCCGAGAGAAAGAAATTCAAAGAAGCGAGCAGCAAAACAACCCCCGGGAGAGAGCATGTTTCTCCGGACAAAGGTGCAGACGCGAGTTTATGGCTGACGCCAGCCGAATTAGCTGCTCGCCGCCTCTGCCTATTGTAAATAATTCAAAAGCGCATTTAAGTTATTAAGAAATATTTCTTTTTTCCGCGCGGCTGCACGTGTGATGCACTCGGGCGGCGGAAATTGGCCGTCCGAGTGTCATTTTTACACTCCCGAGAAATGCAGAAAAATCCTCCTGAGAAGGGTCGGCCGGAGCCTTTCTCACGCCAGGAAGACGCGTTCCAAGAAGAGGACCCCCTGAGCCGGCAGAGTTGCCAAAACTCGCCCGAAATGTTTTTCTCGGCCAAGCAAAATTCTCATAAGCTCAAACCCTTTCGGCCGAGCAATAGAATTTTAGCGGACGGCTGAGAAAAATAAACCACTTTGAAGAAGAATTAATTATGTGCATGAGAAATAAATTGGTGAAGGAAAAATGGGAATTAAATTAGAAATAAAAATAATTAAAGAAAAAATCAACAGAAGAGTGAAGCAAGAGAGAGTGCCAGCGCGCTTAACAATCGGGCGCCTCTCTCTCGCCGGCGACACACAGCACGGCTCTCTCGCGCGCTGAGCAAACCACACGCGAGAGCGAGAGCTCTTCTCTTCTCGCGCCGGCCAGAAAAAGCGGCCGACGTGAAAAATTCGTAAAGTAGAAACAAAAAATTAAAAAGTAAAATTAGAAAAATTAGGAAAAAGTAGAAGTAGAAGTATGGTAGAGAAAATAATTAATTTTTATTTCAGCGGTGCAAGTGCAATGTCTCTGGCGATGGTTTTTTTTTATAAACTCTAGTAAATTATTTTTGTTCTTTTTCAAACGAGAGCGTTATTTATTCCAAAAATTTAAGTAGAGAATTTTGGCCAAGGAAAATTTAAATTCAAACATGGAAATGGAAATTAAGAAAATAAATTGGAAATTATTTCGAGCAGTTCGAAAAGAAATAAAATTTTGCAACAGCGCGCCGCCGGGCTCTCTTTTGATCCCCGCGGCCCGCGCTGCTCTAGAGTCATAAAACAACCCTTAGCAAGCCAATGAAAATCTCGCCCTCCCACTCGAGTAATAGTTTAACATTAACTAAATGGCCAGAAGGAGGTGCCGATTTTTGGAATAAATAGCGCGAGCTCGCAATGCTTTTTCGCAATCGCCAAAAGGCCGTCATAGACCAAAATCCTCGTATGGGGGTTCGTGTTTTGCGCGGCCGAGTACAAACGCCGGAGACCGAAAACTTGTAGTAGTTTTGCGTTTTGAGCGTTTTAAACGAGTGGTGACTAAGCTTAGAGCAATGTTCTACTCGTATACCAGAGACATGCACTGCACCAGAAAGCACTTAAACTGAAGCTAATGATCACTGCCCCATCAGCCCAGCAGCCCGAGACCGAGAGCCGGAGCCTTCCTCCCGAAGC